AAATAGTTAAGAACAACACATTGAAATTAGCTATGAAGGAGTCCAAACCATTTGAATCATTTCCCTTACTTTAATAAAAATGTCTTGGTATGATATGTAATTAGGAATAAGAAATCAACAATGTTAAATAAAGATCATCATTTGTCTATCTTTTAACACATTTCTCATAAACATTGTGCACTTTAACTTAACATGATAATTAAATTTTAAAATTAATAAATATTTTAAATAAATAATTATACATATATATACACAAATAATAAAAAAAAAAATTGGTGCCCCTACAATGATGAGGCTCTATGCGGTCGCTCAACTCACACACCCTCAAGGCCGCCTCTAATCTAACCATCCTCAATCCATTGTACAAAAGCACCTTACTCGATTTACACCAAGGACTAAGCCCCTTTTTGTTTCACATTATTTCATACAAGAAAATGAAAATTTTGACCTTTTTTTTTTTTTTTTTTCAAAAAGTGGATTCCACTATAAGACAAGGTAGTCAAAAATTACGGTTGATCCATTTTGCAACGGTAAAAATTCTTCTAATAATGTGAAACAAACATGGGCTAAATAGCATTATTCCTTCCATTGAAAAACTCTTCATTCAATAAAATTGAAACTAGCAGAGATGAGCAATGAATAAGTGTATCAAAACAGGAAAAAATTACACGAAATCAAGAAGAAGCACAAGTATAAACATCCTCTAGTAGGCGAGTCACAATTCCTAAATAGTGCCCCAACAGTAACGCCGTCGATCTCAGCATGATCGATTGCTAATGAGAGCATGAACCATCGATTCCAGGTGAGTTTGCTTGTGATCAACGACGTGTTAGCTAATAGAAGAAATAAGGAGTTGTTCTCTTTATATTTTAGTTTTGTGTTTTGAATTCATTTTGAGTTTTGTATGTTAAGTGTTCATTTAGAAATTGTTGAAAATGTATTCTTTTTGGCATTTTGAAAACACCAAAAACGCGTTTTGAAAATTTTGGCTTGATTATGACTGAAATTTTCTTTGTGAATTTTTAACTTGTTTTCAAAAACGCGTTTTCGAAAATAGGAAAGAGAATACGTTTCCACTGTTTTAGAAAATCGAAAACGGTTTGAAAATGGTAAAAAGAAAATACCCGAAGTTTTTCGAGGATGATTTGGAAGTGAGAGATTCCAAAGTGAGTCGTTGCTCTTCGAGATATAATTCTGCGAGCACAGATAAATGCAAACAATTAATAGGGGAGGCTAATTATGGTTTCGATTGATTGAGATGTAGATAGAAATGTAACAAATGTTCGACCTTTCCGACCTCGTGTGGATCCTTATGGTGAGGACATTTTCACATCAGGTTTGGTTCCCCAGCCACAAAAGCTCGGCAGGATGAATTGGCGAGGCCTGCATCCTTACATCATTGACCTGAGCTAGTTTGGGTTTGGACAAGCATTTAGATAGTTAAGCATTCTATTTTTTGATAATGT